TAATATTCACTTGATAACAATTTAAGTCATTTTTGTGTATCGTTTTTTGTGTGTTTTTGGCCATTAATATACAAATTTAACACTTTTTTCTATTTTTCGTCCTTCATGTTATAACATTTTTTTTCAATCCTTAGTTTTTAATTTTCTTTCATTTTTACACAACATATATATACACATGTTATCTTTTTATATTTTAAAATTAACACATACTTCATTTTATATTATTCTTATCATTTAAATTTCATTCTTTAAATTTATTATTTTTTTATGAAAATTCTCATCCAATTAATATTTTTTTATATAAGATTTTATTTACTCGATAAATATAAGCTATTTTTTTCTCTATATTTGAATTTTAGAATTAAATTTTATAATATGATTTTTTTCTTTTTTAAAAAATAAATTGGTATAATATATGTCATGAATTCTTAGAATTTTTAAATGATAGTTGCGCATATATAAATATATAATTATTTTATTCTAAAAGATTAAAAGTGTATTTCAAATAATTTGTCTCAGTTCACTAGGTATAGTCAAGAAATATAAAAAAAACTATTGAATCGTTGATTTTATTAAAAATTGACTATATATTTCCCAAGATAATACAAATTATTTACTATGAATATTTTTATTAACATTATCGAACCAATTTATTTGAAATAAAATAATTAAAATAACTCTTTGAAGTAACCAACCAATTATTCAAATATACTTTTTTTATGCTAATTTTATTGATTATTTTATAAATAAATATATATAGATCGAATCCATATACTAGGGGGAAAAAATCTTCTCACTAACATTAAATAAGAATAAATTTTTATTTTTTCATTGGTTAATTTTTGTACAAGTCTATACATTAATTGTAATTTTATTTTTTGGATACAATCTTTTTAAAAAAAATATAAATTTAAAGTATTTGCTTTTGAATTCTTAATTAATATCATGTTTAAATTATTAAAAGTTTTTATATAAGAATCCTTGAATAAAGAAGGATAAATCATATTTTTTTAGTAGAAATTTTATGAAAAACACAAACAAGTGGTAATAATTAAATAAAAAAATAAAAATTTTAAATAGTTTTGTTCTATCTCGCCTCTAGTGTTGTGCGGATAATTTTAAAAAATAATCTTTTCGTTAGCGATAAACAAGAAAATTTGTATTCATTTGTTAATTTTTATAAAACTGTGTCCATTAATTATAAATTTATTTTGGAATGCAATATTATGAAAATTATATTTTTAAAGTTTTTTTTTAATTTTTGATTAATATTTTAGTTAAAAATATTATATATTTTTTATTTTTAAATCAATCCATAAAGAAGAATGATTTATGCTTTTTTTTTAAAGCAAAAAATTTATAAAAAATATTAAAAAAGTAATTAAAAAAATTATAATTAAAAAAATTTAAAATTATTTTCTTTCTACCGGATATGTAGTGTAGCACACGCAAACCACTAGTTATTAAACAACCTAAAGTAAAATATAGTTTACTATTCATTTTATTATTTGAAACACTCGTTCACGTACTCATAAATCACTATTACTTTCACTATTGATGTCATTTTTTTAACACTTTGGTCCTCAAATTTTCTATTTTTTTTCTCAATTTCAAACTTTAATTGTATTATTATTTGATCTCATTTTGTTTTAGTGTTTTTTGTTAATTATTTTTATTCTTTAAAATTTACTATTTTAATTTACCATTTTTTAAATTCTCTTTTTTTTTTCAATTTCAAACTTTAATTTGTTAATTATGTTTATTATTTAAAATGTACTATTTTAATTTGTCAATTTTTTAAATTCTCTTTCTTTTTTTCAATTTCAAATTTTAATTATATTATGATTTGGTCCCATTTTATTTTATTGTTTTTTTAATTATTTTTATTGTTTAAAATTTACTACTTAAATTTATCATTTTTTTTTAATTCTCATTCAATTAATTTAAAATTATATTTACTGAAAATTTTGATTTATTTTTCTATATGTATGGATTTTGAAATAAATTTTTAGAACATGATTATTTTTTCTCTTAAAAAATAAATTTATATCATTTTTAAATGATAGTGGCATGATTAATATATATAATTTATCTAAAATACATTTCTAGATTAAAATTGTATTTCAAATATTTTTTTTAGTTTTTATATTATTTAAAATTTACTACATTAATTTGTCATTTTTTTTAAATTCTATTTTTTTTTCAATTTCAAACTTTGATTATATTGTGATTTTTTCCCATTTTGTTTTAGTGTTTTTTGTTAATTATTTTTATTATTTAAAATTTATTACTTTAATTTGTCATTTTAAAAAAATTCTCATCTAATTAATTTAAAATTATATTTACTTGACAGTTTTAATTTACTTTTCTATATGTATGGATTTTGAAATAAATTTTTAGAAAATGATTATTATTATTATTTTTTGAAAAATATATTTAGATGCTTTTTAAATTATAGTGTGTGTGTGTGTGTGTGTGTGTGTGTGTGTAAAATTTGTCCGAAATACATTTTTAGATTAAAAGTGTTATTCAAATAATTTTTTCTTGATTTTTTTATTATTAATTTACTTTATTAATTTGTCATTTTTTTTAAATTCTCTCTCTGTTTTTTTTTTCAATTTCAAACTTTTATTATATTGTGATTTCGTCATATTTTGTTTTAGTGTTTTTTATAATTATTTTTGTTATTTAAAATTTACTACTCTATGTCATTTTTTTTTAAATTCTCATCCAATTAATTTAAAATTATATTTGCTAATAGTTTTTGATTTATTTTTCTATATATATGAATTTTGGAATAAAATTTTAGAATATGATTTTTTTTCTTTTTAAAAATAGATTTAGATAACTTTTAAATTATAGTGGCATGATTAATATATATATAATTTGTCTAAAATACATTTTTAGATCAAAAGTGTATTTCAAATAATTTTTTCTGGATTTTTTTTTAGAAAAAACCTCAAATGAATTAATTAATAGTTGAAAGTCAAATGTGAAAAATAAAAAGAAGATGGTTGCTCTGTGCGTGAGGCCTATGTTCAAGGACTAGCCATGCATAACATAGAAATAAAAAAATATTTAAGAAGGAGTAAAAAAAGAAAAAGAATTCACATGTTTTATTAATTTGTTTCTTCTTTATATAATCAAAATTATTTGAAATCAGATTTGTAATAATTTTTATTTTGGTCTATTAACTTCAAATTTAGTCAATATATTACTTGCAAGTTAACTTTTTATAGTATTTTTTGTTTTAGACTGAATACTCTAAACTCGCTTAGTATGTTTATGATGCATAAAAAAAAACATTGAATTGTTGTTTTTTTTATAAATCAACTATGCAACTACTAATATACTAAATATTTACTATTTATTTATTTTTTTGAATATTTTAAAATGAACTTATTTTAAATTAAATAATTAAAATAATGTTTTGGCTTAACCATTCAATGATTCAAATTAATATAGTTTTTTATTTTAATATTATTCATTCTTTTATAAATAAATATATAAAAATTAAATTCATATTTTTTTTCAAAAATTGATATTCTCATCAACATGAAATAAAAAAAATTATTTGTTCAATTCTATGTAAGCTTTTAATAATTGTTAGTTATGTTTTTTGACACAATCTTATAAAATACTAAAACTTTTTGTTAAAAATTTATTTAATTTTCTTTTTAGTTAATGATCTAATACGAATGAATCCTCTTTCTAAAGGAAAAATTATGAAAAACACAAATAAGAAATAGTTAAATACAAAATTTTTGATTAAATAATTTTTTATACCTTTGATTTCATATATTTTTATAGATTCACACCATAAAACAAACAATCAAATTGAAATAATTTTTCTAAACGATTTTATATATTTTATTCAACTCACAGCGTAGGGCGGCAAAAAAACTAAAAGAAAATGGATTTTTACTATTCATAACACTCGTTTACATACTCACAAATCACTATTTGCATATTCATAAATCAGTATTCTTTTAAATATTCATGGTATTGTTGTAATAGTTTGATACTTAATTTTTCTATACATTTTTTTTCGATTTCAAACTTCAATTGTATTGTGATTTGATCTCATTTTATTTTAGTATTTTTTTTTGTTAATTACTTTTGTTATTTAAAATTTACTACTTTAATTTGTCATTTTTTTTAAATTCTCATCTAATTAATTTAAAATTATATTTACTAATAGTTTTGATTTATTTTTTATATGAAATCTTATGAAATACTAAAAATTTTTAAAATTTTTTTATTTAATTTTCTAAAAATGAGTTTTTACTATTCATAAGATTGTTCATATGCTCATAAATCACTATTCGCATACTTACAAATCACTATTCCTTTCACTATTCATAATATTGTTGTAACACTTTGGTCTTTATTTTTTCTATACATTTTTTTTTCGATTTTAAACTTCAATTGTATTATAATTTGATCTCATTTTATTTTAGTGTTTTTTTTAATTACTATTTTATTTAAAATTTACTACTTTAATTTGTTATTTTTTTTAAATTCTCATCCAATTAAGTTAAAATTATATTTATTAACAGTTTTGATTTATTTTTTTATATGAAATCTTATGAAATAATAAAGCTTTTTTAAAATTTTTTATTTAGTTAATAATTCATGGATTAATAAGAATAAATTCTTTTTTAATAGAAAAATTATGAAAAACACAAATAAGAAATAATTAAATATAAAATTTTGATTAAGAAATTATAAATATATTTTTTATTTTATATATTTATGTTATAATATAAACTATTAAACTAAAATAATTTTATATATTTTATCCGAAGAGCTTAGGCCAAAAAAACTAGTCTTTGGCTAACATAAAAATGAAAAACTTTACCCAACTCGGTTTGGTTCGGTTTATCTGTTGGCCTCAGACCCATCCTCCTACTTCAGTAGTGCAGGCTAGGCAGGATATATAAACAGCCCACAAATGCATATCCAGTTACAAACTCTATCCTCTGTCCATCTACATCGCTATGTCAAGAGGACCAGACCGTCTGATAAAGAGTGCGAAGCAATTCGCAGACTTTCAATACAAAGTCTTCACTGCTCGATATGGCCAACAATTGATTGACCTTTTCGAGTTCCCAATAAAACTTGTCCTTTCTCCTTTCACTCTTGCCTTTGACATTGTGGGCTCTGCTCCTCGTGGCTTTGGTGTCCCTGAACTCATCTCCAAGCTCTCCTATGCTTCTATCTTTGTATAATTCTCAACCTTTACTAGTCTTTTAATATTATGTGCCATGTATCTCATGTACACTGTGTGTTGGTTTTGCAAAATTAGAGACGTTATTGGTTGTTTTTCATTTTACTTCTCATTTACTTAAATGGGTATTCTTGTTTTCATGTTCAACTATGTTTATTTAATAAAAGTTCATAGTTCGTAAGTAGATACTACGTTAGGGTGAAAATTTAAGTATTTGGCTGTTGGTTTTGAGTTAATTTTGTTACTTGATACAATTGCTTCTCAGGGTATTGTTCGTTTTTGCATAATTTTTGTTTTGGAAGTTGAATGCTATGATTGCTTGCAAGTTCGGTATGTTTGGCGTTAAATTTGTGTTGTGGGTGGTTTTGGGTTTTTGTTCTTGCACGAACAAATTATGTCCCAGTTTAAATCTTGTGGGGGCGTTTTAGTTTTGTTGAGTTGCATTTCTTCTTGGCTTAAATGGGATATCGGGTTTTTGTTCTATTTGTATAAAGTTGCATTTGTACTTAGGATTTCATGTTGGTGGTTTAAACTTTGATGATAATTTAGTGGCTTTTTGGATCATTTGGTTAAAGTGCTAATAATGACACCTTCCTGAAACTACAACAGTTTTGCTGGGTCAATGTATTCTTGTGCAATCTTCTATTATTTGCTTTTCTTTAATGAGATTTTGGTGGCGGGATAAAGCCTGAAGTCATCTATTTCCTGCACTTCTTGTGTAAATAAAAAATAAGCAATTTTTCAGTTTATTTATGGGTTGAGAAAAACGTCCTAAATAGATCAGTGCTTTTTATGCAATTCTTTGTGTTTGCAGAACTAGCACAATTTCCTACATTCTCCTTCCTCTTTTTTGCTACTTTGTGTCATTTTTTGGGGAAACATTATTTTTGAGGATCATTTCACTTTTTTTTTTTGCAATTTACATAAGAGTAGTACAGCTATTGTACCTCTAATGTTCTTCTTGCAGCATATTAGCTATTGTCCTCTTTCAACCTTCTTGTGCTTTTTTCTTGCAACTTTTTTCGGTGGCAGTCACCATGTTTTTTTTTTGGTAACCTTTCTAGTCTTCTCTAAAGTAGGACTCACAAACACACTTGTAAGTTTTTAGAGAACAATGTGTCAGAGATCATTGTGCTCTTTTGAAATTTGTTTAAAGATCACAATACGTTTTTTTTACTGGGTCATAAGGTGCCGAGTTATTGTCAGCAAGGTCATATGTACAAATTGCACTTTATGCTATTGTCCTAGCTCTAGATTTTCATTGCCTTCAGGTTGACTTAGTGGTTCTTCAAAGTTACACTTCTGATTTCGTTAAACTGACCAGTTCCTAGTTAACGATTGGTGTTTTTTTTTTTCCTCTCTTTCTGATATGGATTTTTAGAATGGTATTAATTGACATCTCACTGATTTTGTTTTTTTTCTCTTCTTTAAAGGCTGTTGCTACTTTGGGGACCTATGATATTGCATTGGAGATGGGAAAGAAGGTCATATGCCAAAGGTACTGACCCTTGCCTATGCCAATAATTTGTCCTATTCTAGTTTGATAACACTCTTCATGATAGTATTATGCTCTCCATTGTACTGTTTAGAACTTTGAATCCTGCATTTTCATCGATGAAGTTGAATATCCTTCGTGCTTCTAAATCATGATTTTGTGACCGCAGATGAGTCAAAAGTTATTTATTAAATTGAATATAAAAGGTTTGATGCTTTGGGAACAGCTGTGACAAAGGCAGCCTCAGAACATACATTTTTAATGTATCCATCTTGCAGAATGGATTACCTTGACTGTCATCTAAATGACATACTAGATGCTTGTGCATGCAAATTTGCCCTTATCACCTGTCAGAATGAATTTGATGTGATGTGTGTCTGAGGATAGCTTTTTTTCATTTGTTGACTTTCAGAATCGCTGTATTATTGATATGTTCCTATAAAAGAAAAATGTTAGCAGCGACTGTAACCTCTTCTTGGTTGTGATGTCCTTCACATGATAATTGAACTCTTGTTATAGGAGGCCACTAGAAGTTCCATGAGGATTTTTCTTTCTGGGAAACTCAAAGACTCAACTTATATTATATTAATGCAGAACTATGTAAACTTTGACTAAAAAAGGGCGACAGTGCATCATATTTAGTTTTCTTTTCATATTGTTCATAATGACATACATATCAAGTTGTTCACGTTGAAATTTTAGGGACATTGATTTGAAATGTCTGAGCAATTCCATTTTCTGCCAAACCAATTTAATGCACATGTTTATTTTTGATTGTGTGGTCAGGATATTCGGTGCATGAATTGCTGAGCTTTGTACTTAAAATTCTTTTTTTCTTTTTTTTTTCTTTTGCATTTTTATGATTCTGGTGTGATTTTTGCTGAGAGCTAGAGAGTTCCCGTTGTTTTCACTTGATGCAATACAGCATACTGTTTCAAAGAACTAAAAATTATTCCTATAAAAAAAGAACTAAAAAATGATGATTTTTTTTTTTGAATCAAAAGGAGGGTGGAATTTTATATAATCATTCTAGTCTCCTTGGAAATTGGCAGAAGACCATGTCTGATTAAGATTGGCGTGTTGTTCATTTGACTGGCTTTTGGATGCAGGAATTGTCAGACTTGCAATGGGTGGCAGGCATTGCGGTGTAACATGTGCAAAGGAGCAGGGAAGGTGCACTACCAAGTTAAAAATTACACCTTGAGAAGGTAGTTAATGGGGTAAAGCTCACCAAAGTAAAAATCTTGTGGTGCTAGCAATAACCAGAAACTCAGAGAGAGCAAAATCTATCAAACATGCATCCAAACCTTTTACAGGAGACCACATGAAGCCTTAATTTGAAAACTGCTATACTGCATGTATGTAGCAGTGCTACAGAACAACAAACAGTGCCACTCCAATAAATCAGCATTATTCCAGTTTTAAATTTCATATCGCTATAGCATACCACGTAAATTGCTACTTGCTAATTGTTTTAATCTTCTTTCATGATGAACTGCAAATGCTTGTTGAGGTGGTTTAAGAATGTGGTCGGCTGGAGTTCTTGACCTGGTTGTAACTAGGAATTACATTATTTTAGTTCTCAAGGACTGTTGTTTTGTGCAAATGGTAAACGAATCAGGTTTACAATCAATAGATTGCAGGTTTGGGAGTGGAAAGCAGTTACTTTGACTCAATATGCTGTAGCTTTAAGGTCTGTTGTGCTTGGTTGGGAATACTGGGGCCAGCTAAAAACTTTTCTCTGATTTGAACTGCATATTTCAAAGTTTTCAAGTAGCACTATTTTTCTTAAGTTAAGTCTCTCGAGTTTGCAACCAACATGTTGTAGGTTCAGGGCTTGATATCAGTCAGTTCATACAAAAATGTAGCAATGTAGGGTTTTCTCCAGAGTTCCTTTCCTGGTTCCTAGGATCCTACTTTAGAGAAACATTATGGCATTCTTAAGTTCTGTAGTTCTTGTCGTCACAGTTGCCTCTTCAAGAGCTTATACATATTATTTTATGCATTACTATGCAAATCAGCATATTGCAAATGTTCTTTTTGCTCAACATCATTACCTTTAATGCATAATTTACACTTTGCCAATGATCTATGTATCCAAATTTATAGTGCTCTTGAATTGTTTATATGCCCTTCTTTTAATCTTCTATGGATCCTTTTGCAGTGGAGAGAAGGCTACAGCTGAGTGTATTGCAGATGCCATTGCTGACAATCGGGCTGAGCTGGTGCACCTTCCCTCCTCTGTGGATCTTAACGTGCCTTTGCCATCTAAAGACTGTCCAACTTGTGATGGAACGGTGAGACTTGCATATTTCCAAGCATGCCTATCCAAGTTTGTAAAATGTTATACCATCTATGTATATTATTTTTGGTATTGGTAGTTTGATCATGATGTGCTTTTATCTCATATTCTGAGAGGATCTCTCTGGTTGTAATCTATTGTGGTCAGAAATGCACATCTTCACCGCACCACATAGCCCCTTTTTATACAGTTTGATAGGAGTACACATTTTACCATTCTTGTGAACCTTTGTTTGTTACACTTTTTAAGGGAAGTGGTGTCCATGACACATCTTTGAGCATAAGCTGCACAAATTTTCTGAAAATGAAAAATGTTAGGTTGTAATCTTTGGATGCAATATTTATTGATGTTGCAGGGTGTGATGAGCTGCCCTGAATGCAAAAACAAATTACAAGTCAGGATCTCTGCAGACGATGTGAGTTATTTATTTATTTTTTAGTTTTTGAATTTGCTGATGCTGGATTTTATTTATGACTGCATTAATATGAGTGTATTCAAGTAGCTCCAGACTTTCAATGAGAAAATTGCAACCAAAATTTAACAATTCAATCTTACTGCTGGACTCAGAGTTTGTATCATCAAAACGGTTGACATTGCATGGAAGCGATCCTTGTATCTGACATCTTATGTTGCTATGCATGGCAGTGAAACTTCTTTAAAATCCAAGTCTTTGAATGATCTGGACTGAAAATTCTTGAACTTCAAGCTTGAAATATCAGATCTATGCGGTATGCTCCATAGTGGAGCTGAATGGCAGCACACTGTAGTGGAATATTTTCTGGTTTAGTGATCCATTTGGATCAAATGGAAATTCTTTGAAAAAAGGGGAGAAGATTGATAATGCTGGATGGATCTGAATGTTTGGTCACCAAGGACTATTTAGCAACACGATTATAGTAAACAAACTGTCATTGAGATAACTTAACATTTGAGAGCTAATGACTCAGAGTAAGTGTATTTGGTTAATCATTTGGTAGTGTCAAAGGACTATCTCACCCAAAAGCTTAAGCTATTAGGTGAGACCTCGGGATATGATTTATATTATTCTCTAACACACCTTCTCAAGTGAAAGCCCTTTGGGCTTGACACCTGTATAGGCTCACACTACCTTGTGCTTAATTAATTAGAAGAGAAATAAGAGGGGGTAAGATTCGAACGTGTGATCATTTGGTCATCAAGGCTCGATATCATATCAAAGGACCATCTCACCCAAAAGCTTAAGTTATTAAGTGAGGCCTCGGGATATGATTTATATTATTCTCTAATAGGTAGCACCTTAGGTGATAAAAGAAAACCATAGTAGCAACAGAAAGTAAATTATGAGTGTTTTTAGATTTATACGTGCTCTATATGTTTATCAAGATTTTATTATTTATTTATTTCAAAAATCCAATCACTGATTCATATTGTGTTACCATATGTGATTTACTTTCATGTCCAATTAATGAAATCGTCCATCTTCGTATGGTTCAACTTTCTGCAGATAATGGAGCCCCCATGGCAAGCCTACAATGTCTTGAGAAAGATGGAGTATCCATATGAGGCTAGTATCATGCCACCTTGATTTTTTTGAAGTTGCTTTGCCTCTTGTCTAAGGTTTAGAAAGTCATGTAGCATATTACTTTAATTAGCCCATGGCTAGCCATCGTAGCTATGAAATATAAGCCATTTAATTTTTTGTTAAATTGCTACTGAAATATAAGCCTTTTTTAATTGTCCATCACCATCATCCCAATGAAGTATTCTGATTTTGTTATGATCACAGTAGTTGTCCTTTGACTTCATACATAGTCTTGCATGAATTGGATAATGTTTGGAGGGTAAATATCCATTATGAGTTTCAAGCATTTGAGAACAGTTATCGTCTATTCAGATGTGCATAGGATTAGTTGTGGATTGGTGTCATGGTCATGGTTAGCCCTAGATTAATGAGATTACTTTGGAGACATGGATTGGCTCGAATGAGGAACTATTAGACGTGGCGTGTCCTTTCTCGGTCTTTCCTACTGAGATCAGACACAACTTTGTGCTCCCTTGGACACATATGGTCTTACAAATTGATCTTGTCATAGGGACACTTGGATTTATCTAATTGGCTCAGTGTTAACTCTCCATTCCACTTACTGTACATACCCACAGCCACCCCTCTGTAATCTAATATCACAACATTGGCTAGATATTATATCTTTGTGCAGTACTCCATGCCCATATTTCTTAATCATACCCCTTCGAGAACTCTGACATCGCATCCCATACAAAGGGATATTTCCATTTACAGTTTACACTATCCATTCCTTCATCCGAAATTTGGGAGCATTTACCATGCAGATGCCTGGTTATGCGTCTCCTAACTAGTCATGTGCATTATGCTTTCACTAAGATTCTTATTTCTTCACCTTCTCACTGATCCATTCCACTTTCTGCTTTGGTATTGTTGCTGCACACCACGACATCACCGGATCCCCATTTGCTTCAAAGAATTCCACTTGTCTGCATGTTGTGTGTTCATGGTTTACTTATATTTCTTTCTTTTCTGAACTACTCATTTTTATTTGGGAGCCCACTCATGTTTGGTGTTTTATATATCCGTTGGAAAGTTATCACTATGATTTTATCTGACACATTAGACGATAGCATGATTTTCAAAGTGGAGGCATGCAATATTTGATTTCAGTCTATCATATTCTTTGCCAATAATATAATTTTGACTCTTTTCTGTTTCAGCATATAGTTGATAGCATGAGAGATCCCAGCATTGCTGCGTTTTGGTTGTTTTCCTTTCCTGAGATTATGGGTGGCTTCAACTATGATGGTGATGTCAAGCAGAAAATTTGGTGGCAATACAAGGTTCCTAGTTCATTTTGCCTCCTTTATCTCGTCTGGTGGTTGATGTTATTTCTTATCATTTCCTCATTGTCTTATGGTATACTGTTTCTTGAAAAGCCCCAATTCTAATTAAGTTTCTGCAACTTTAGCCTATGCTAAGCAAAGAGGTGCTTGCATTCAAATGCTATGTTAATTGAATGGTTCATCGTCTTTCATTTCCATATGGAAGTCAAAGCTTATTTGACTTGAACTCTGCCACTTTAGCACATGTTAAATGAAGAGGTGATGGCATTCATATCATTTATCCATTGAACAACACATGCTAAATGTAGAAGTGACTAATGTGCATCTTATATGCAGTCTTTTAGCCAGTCATGTCTACACTTTTCATTTTCTTTTAAAAAACAGAATTAGAATCCAGGAACCTATTTCATTCCATGAGGCACCAAAATTGGACTGAAGGTCTTTTTAGGGCTTTAAGTCAGATTGGCAGGCCTGTTGCATTTATAGGAGTGTTTCAAAGCTTCAAAGCACAGTTTTTGCAGTTCCTTCTTTTAACAATTTGGTTTTCTGTGTTGGGTAGGAATCAATGAGGTATGATCAATTACGAGATATGGTATCCAAGCGAAAACCTGGTTGGGAGCACTTGCAGGAAGTAAGACCATCTTCTTAAAAAGAATCTACTAGTGAAATTCATTGATGCATTAAACATGTGATCTTGTATATGTGAGTATTTGGTACATTTAAGAAGAAACAAGAGCAAATGGTCAAATCTTTTGCGTGTAATTCTCTCTGTGTGTTTGTGATACTCACCCTTCTGGGTTTCCTTGTAAGCTGAAATGATTGTTATTTGTGTTTATTCTGTGCTGTGACTGCCTTATGTTAGTCAATCCACCATATGAAGCAAATTTCAATTCCTTTTGCTACTTTCTAGTTTCTCCATATTGATAAAGTATGGCTAGTGGTGCAGAACTTATATTTCTCTTTTATTTGCAACTGACATCAAGTTGTTATTATTTTATTATTTAAATTTTAGTTTTTATAGCTGCTCATGTGGAATTTATTTTTGTGTTTAAATAATTGCAAACCTGCGAGATAAAATAATTTTATCCACGGTACTTCAAATTTTTTTCTCCAGTTTAGCTGAATGATCGAATTTCTATAATCAGCTTAAATTTCTAGTAGTGCATATCTCTACTGGCTGTGGGGTGAGTTTTATTGGCATACTAGAAAAGGGTCCTCAGTGGAGCAAATATAGAATTTCCTGCCAAAAGTTATGGATCCTTAGGTGTTCATTAACATCTTGGTCTGCTCTCCAGTCTTTAAACTCTATGTCTCTGTTCTGGGAAAAAGTTATAAATTTGCTAAACAAATTAAGAAGTACAACTTGCTGCAATTTACTGACTGCTTCAACTGCTGGAAGCTTGGATAATTTTTGAATGGAATAAATAACTGACTTGCCCTGATCATTTTATCTATCCATATGATGTTTGATTAGGATTGAGATCAAAGCTCGAAGGTTGAATCTTTGCATCATAAAGTATACCCAGGGTTCATCCAGGGGAAGAATTCGCATCTGTCATTTAAAATCTTGTCAGTGTGCATAAATACTCAACTTACAAAAGTTACAATGCAGGAAGCTTTTGATTTTTTCATTTTCTTTTTAATTGTTATATTTTCATTTAACCATGATAAAAGTATATTTGACATTTATCATAAATTTTATTGATGTCTATCATAAAGGGTGGGTTATATGTAAGGTAAAAAATTATGCTCATAATAAGAATTATTCTTTTTTCTTTCCTATTTGTTTTGATTGTCTTGCCAGTCAAACTCTGTCAAATTTAAATATGTACTTGGTGGAATTGCATATGCTTCATTGTTTTGCCAAAGCTTTGTCATTTGAGTTCATAATCATATGCAGGCCCTGATCTCCATAGATCCTGTTCGTGCCAGAGATGATCCTGTTGTTGTGAAAAATGTCCCGTATTACAAAGCCAAGAAGGCACTGGAGGCAGAGGTGATGAATCTTGATCCGCCACCACGGCCACAAAATTGGGGTGTGAGTATTTATTGTTTCAACCTATCGCTGCATTCTTTGATGCTTGTGCACGTTTTTAACATGTCATTTCAATGGGGAGAAATGAAGATTCATTTAGTAACTAAAACATTGACAAAGATATATACAACCCTCAAAGAAGTTTCTTTTTTCCAGTAGTTGAGGGTAACATAATAGTCATGAATTAAAAAAAAAAAGTGTAATTTAGATCTATGATGTAATGGGGAAAGCAATTATGAATTGGCAAGTAAGGCAAATTGGTGGAATAGGCATGATTAAGATTCTAGTTTCAAATCTCACTAATGAATCAACTCAACTAAACTTAATTCCAAATTAGCTGGGGTTGCATGACTTGTTATGTTATGTTACAACTTGCACCCAGTCTAGGAGGCTAGGACCTTTTAATCAGATTCTTCTTATGATTCAATCTGTCATTTTTTTTTCTCTCTGCCCTGCCCATTTTATCCTTTCTACTCAAGTGTAGTCACCTTCAACCCAAGTCATTCTGGTCTATGTTTCACCCCTTTCACTTTTTACTTGAATGCACTCCCTCTTCCCTAGGCACAGTTAAAGGAGTTTAAGGTTTCCTTGGAATATGAATGAATCATCTTAAATGACCTTCCCAAAACCTATACCTTTTGTTGAATGTGATTGCTCTATCATTTCTTGTAATTCCACACATCTATCTTAACATTCTCATTTTAACTTGGTATAACTGCCTTATTTCATTTCCTATAAAATGTTTCCTTCAATACCAATAAACTGTTCCATTTTATTCATCCTCCTCTATTTCCAGAGACAAAATTCTGGGATATTTCTAAATGCCACGTTTTATGTCCCCTCCTCCTCGTCATGCATAGTCTGGCAAGTAAACACCCCTTTCAAATTCGTAACATATATGGAGTTCATCCAGGTTTACTCTTTGAATATGAATTTGTATTGCAAAAAAAGAAAGATAAGGGTATCTTGGCAGGTAATAAGTATGCATGTTTTTGGAGAAGCGATGTGTGTGGAACATCTTGTTTTACTTTGAATGGTGATTGAGCTGACAAGGATGAATTTGCAGGAGCTGGACCTTCCACTGAATGCGTCATCATGGAGTGATGAGGATCTTAAAAAACCAGAAAAATTCTATGAGATGACTGTTCTTCTCAATGCACAAAGAGAAATTGCTGATAAAATTTTGGATGAACAATGGGAAAATAAATGGCGTCAAGAAAAGGTCGGTAAAACTGCCTCTACTTCTATGGTTTAATTTGTCTTATATCTTTCCAAACCTGTGTATATTACATGTTATTTGTCTTGTATCTTTCCAAACCTGTGTATATTTTTACATGCTATATACAAATTACACACACACACACACACACACACACGTGACGGACAACATATGTAACTTTCTGGTTGTTTTTCTCACAAACATGCTAGGTGGACGACATTATTATAATTCTGAGAAACATGTGTTATGCTTTAGTCCCAAAAAAAAAAAAAAAAAAATTATATATATGGAAGACTACTTTCCTTAAAAAGACATGCTGACATCATTGTGGTTCATGATTCTTTAGAAAGCTTGTATGAAGCTTAAAACATATCAAGAAGGTAAACCATTTTGAATACTGTTTTAGGTGGGAGATGTTTGCTAAAATAACCCAGGAGAAAATGTGAACTTTTCTCTTGGATTTATGATGAATTCTCAGATGCTTTTCTGCAATTCCTCTTAAGAAATTTGTATGCTCACACATATTTGATGTATTTACCATCTAAGAATAGTTTAACCAATTTCTGTCTCTATTTGTTTGACACCACCTTTATTTACTTGTTTGGTATCCTGTAAATGCCACGAGTGATCAATATCCCATACAATTTGATTTGCAGTTGAACCAAATGTTGGAGGAGAAGGTGCGGCCATATATTCAGAACATCAACAATGGTGCTCTTCCCCGTCCTATCCTAATAAAATCACAGAATCAGGATAAAAAGGTTTCACCCTTCTTTACCTTTCCACTTACTTTATTTTTAAGATTTATCAATTTACTCTGAAGCCAAATGTTATCTCTTCGATTTCTTTTCCATTGGAATAAAAAAATGGACCTATATTATACCCAAAAAGATAAGGTTTCTGATTGTCCTAGTTATTAAATTGTATTCGGGATAATGCCCAATGGTAGCTTGCTTTATAATCTGGAAGATGACTTTGGCCCAATGAAATATAGCATTGGTTGTGAGGATATATATATTGGCTGGGAAATGGGCTTTAAGGAGGCTTCGATCCTCAGCTTTTTCTCTGTTTTGTTTCATTAATGGGGATGTCTTCTTGCTTGTTTGATGCGAGCTGATAACTCATTTGGCTTTTGGATCATGCTATGCCTTCACACGTCTGGAATTGAATCTGTTTAGAGTTCACATTACTGCCTTACCCTTTTGATAATCCTACGATCTTAAAAAAACTAAAGCATGAGGTTCATCAAAATGAAAATGTATGGACATGCATTTGTGGCAGGAAGATGGATTATCAAAGCTATTTCCAATATAATTGATGCTCGAAGTGGTTAATGGAGTAGGGTCTCTAATACTAAGATTGTGTAACCAAAGAGCTTATAGCTCAGTGGTAGTGGTCTCTTGCAAGAGCTCACAGATTCAAATCCTAATAGACTAGTGCTTTTAGGAAACTTTGAGTGTGAGAGTTAATAATAATAATAATAATAATAATAATGATAGTACTAAGATTGTGATGTCTACAATTCTTCTGTAATGGAGACCCTGTTAGGTAACTACTCTGAGTATAGTCAAATACTATCGATACGTTTAATATAAAATGGATGATTCTACCTGCGTCTTTTGCTATGTTTTTTAAGGATAAAGTTCTACATTTTGTTTATGTATAATTGCATGCTAGAGATCCAGGGGGTAAACCAGGCTTTCAAGAATGTTATGCATGTTACCCATAAGCACGCATTATCACTTCCTAAAAGCGCTGGGTACTGTAGTTACACCTAAAGTCATTATTGGTTTAGGTTTAATCATGCGAAACTTTTGCTAGTCGCTGTTAATGTTTATCATGGTGCCCCAGTAATGTTTGCAACTTTTTGCTTATTTGTTACAGAGGAAGCAGAGGCGATGGTGGTTTTTCTGAAGTTGTTTTAACCATCATTCGCATGTAGGCAGTGCGGCACGTTGTCCAATTTGTATTCTCCCATATTTTTTCTTTAAAAATTATACAATTTTCCCTCTTACCCTACCTATCTCTACTCTGAGAATTTTGTAGTCTCTATCCATGGATTTTATCTTAACTCCTACCTTAATCCTCTCCCTCTCACCTGGTCTTCGGTAGCTACAATATGCTACTACTAGTCTTTTTTTTGTTTTTTTTTGTTCTCTTTTAAGTCAGCCTTGATTAAATGAAATATATCTCAGGATGTCGGTTGAGATGGACACTGCCAAAAAAGTCCTGTAATTTCAGCTGAATGATATGCACAAACAGGTAGATATATATTGAATTGAAAAGGGAAAAAAAAACCCAAAAAGATATATTAACTTTTTATGCGTGGCTCTTGGAAAAAGGAATGCGACAAATCCTCAACATATACATGGATGAGCCTACTGATGTGAAAAGTCAAAGATCTACGGGAAAGAAATTGTTGTTTTCCTGGCAAAGTTGGAGAGTAAACTTGTAATCCATACGTGGCTTGTTTGATTCATGTCGAAGGCATCATCCGTATGGAGCGTAAATGCCAACCTGCTTGAAGAAGGTTGATCTGGATGAGAAAGTTGGCCTTTATGGCTGAGAGAAAAAGTAGTTAAATAAATTAAGCAAGCAGTACGCAGTCCTTGTCCATCGACTAGTAATCACAAAAATCTCGAAGCTCTACCAAGTCTTGCCGACAGGTGGCAGAACAAACTAAAAGTTGGAAAGCTATGTCCCATGCACCGACGATCCCAGACCTGTTCATGACAGTGAAATTTCATAAAGGAAGGAAGAGACTAGACTGCAGATGCAATTAATGTTGTTTGTTATGAAGTGGGACATGACTCCTAATTTAGGGAATTCAAATTTCAAAATTTTAGTATAACGTTGCTGTTTTTTTTTTTTTCCCTCTCTATTTGATAGAGAATTTTAACTCTCTTGTTTCATTTAATGAATATTTGAATTTTCATCAATTTAAGTACTTATAAATTTCCAACTAAAATTATATACATATGGGAACCAAAAAAATAAATAAATAGTAAAAGGAATTTGTTTTCATGAAAACAAATACCAGTTAAAAAAAAAAAAAAAAGGGAATTTCTTTGTAGATAACCATGCATTAATGTTGAGGAAATAATAACTAAGGATTCTTATTTTATTCCTCTCTCACTCTTGCTTGCAGGAATTAAGAGTCAGAAAATCTAGTTTATAGACAGAAGGAATGATATTTTTACTGTCCAAAAGTTAATGAAATAATTTACCCTTGATAACATTTTGTGGCTTCGAGAGGTCAATAAATTTTTTGCTAATATAAAAAATTCAAATTTTAAAATCATATTTATCGAAAATAATTAAATCTTGTAATTTATACCTCAAACATTATTTTTAATGTGAGACTAAAATACATAGATAAAATTAGTTTTTAATAAGAGACGAGGATAAATGAGTAAAAAAAACAAACATGAAGTATTTTTCATTTTTGTACACGATTACGTTATTATGTCCACGAATATATATATATATATATATAGTTGTATGTTTATGGTCTATAGATTTCATGTTTAGCTTCGTGTTACGAGTCTAGGGTATAGACAACCGAGTTGGCATACCGTGGTAAGTCCCGACGGATAGGGCGATAAATCGGGAGTTAGTTGCCTTCATAACTCGCGTACCCAAAACCTCCGAACCATAGCCTAGGTATGGATTCTATGTTCCGTAGATCTACTTCCTTTTCTACATCTTCTCGCTTCGATTCTTCCGAGTCTAGAAGATAATCAATAGTGTAGAATATGTCATAGAAGATTTTGAAAAACAAATTGATGATTGGGCAATACCCAAGATTCACAAAGATGAGATTTACAAAACCAACAAATATGGACTTTTCAAAACCGATTTCACAATCAAAACCGAAGAGCGTGATATTCAACTTCTCAAAACCATTTGAAACAATTCATCTTCTATCTTCCAAAACTCTTCAAAAACATAAAGACAAAGGTTTTAAATACATTCATATTGGTTTAGTTCAAGTGGGGATTAAACCACTTACAAAAGAGGGATTGAACACCTCAATCCTAGCAGATCCTTAGAGACAATAGGTTTACAAACTTTCAAGACTCTTTGTTAAGTTCAATTGAGTCTAGTCTATGCAAGTGGACCTATTTCTTTTGATTGTTATCCTAATTTTATCGTTTCCTTGAATGACAAAAATATCATTGAATCATTGATGTCTGCAAGTTAAAACTCATAATTATCATATGATGGATGGATCTATTCCAGATTGCATTAATTACAAAAATTCATTATAAAGCCATGAATTCCGCATTTGCATCTAAACACAAAAGTGCAATCGACCAAAGGTGAAACCCTTCTTCCGCAAACAGTATCCGACCAAATCCAACACCGTTATTCCTGCACCTATTAGGTGGAAAGACATAGTGCTTCCGGATGAATGGATCTTGGAAGGAATTACAAAACCCGGATCTCTACCAGCTCCCGAGGTCCCAAAACCAAACACACAAATCGATCCATAGAACAACACATGGATGGGAGTGTTAGACTTCGTTTGACGTAAAATTTACCAATGAGTAGATTTTCCGATATTGCCTCTAGTTCCATGACTTATGACCTAGGAAGATTTTCCGAGATTCCTTCGACCATAAATTTACCAAATGTTAGGAGAGATACGTACTTGGATCGTAGTCCGCCATCCCTTAGACAACCACGTAGGTTTTCAACCTCGGATGTCCCTAACCCAGCTTTTACAAAACGTTGATTATGGTACCCATGTTCCAAAACCCGGATATTCAAACCAAGAGGATTCTCCTCCCGCATCTCCTACCGCATCCGCTATCACCGATAATATTTCACATGAATGTAATGCTTTGAATGATGATAGTTTTACAAGTAGACAAACAATATCCGCATGATGACTTCTATGCAAAACATAATTTTGAAAAACGAATGTGGTTCTTCAAAACTTTCTCGGCTACCGTAAAAGATATTCAAAATGAATTTTATGAATTTGTGAATGCTCATAAAGTTCATATATTATTCTTTGATTGGTTTGAAAT